AATAGGCTGAGACAGCAGTTCTCAATCTACTAAGGCAAAACAAGAGTTTCTCTGGCTTTCATCCTGGCTAGATCCTGGCCTCCCAGAATTGTGGCTGCTCCATCCCTGGAGATTTTCCAAAATAAACTGGACACCCATTTGACCCGGATGGTATAAGTTGAGCAGGGGGTTGGACTAGAAGACCTCTGAGGTCCCTTCCAGCTCTTTATGAATCTAGATCCAAAGAAATTAGAGGGGAACTCTTCTAGGCAATTCTTCCTTCGGTTGCTCGGATCGCAGGCTGAATTCTTTTATAACACTCCGCTGCTCTGCCTTTGGATTTCCTACCAAGTGCTTCCTTTGTTTTTATCTCTCTTATCCCAAGCCAGCCAGAATCACGCAGGGGAGATGGGTGCCTATATAAATCCATTTTTTAAAAAAAAATAATAATTAAAAAAACGGGACCGCTCGTTCAGGCCGAGGGGTAGGGCTGGGCCCAAACGGGCTGGGTGACCTTCACTGCAACCAAAATCTAAGGATGAGCCATTCGGAATGCCCAAATTCCAAACCTTTGATTCGATCGGGGTGAGTCAACCCGAGCTGGAACGGCAGGGAACTGGGTGGAGGGTTTGAAGGGAGGGGAGGGGCTGCAGCCAGTGGCTGTGGGGTGGGGGGGGTTGGGGGGGGAGACTGAACTAACCTTTTGGGTATCCAGTAAAGCTCGTTGAGGAGGGAGGCAAAAACCTGCTCCAATTCTTTCCCGCTGAGAGAGGTGGATTCGTTTACAATCTCTGGGTTGCTGTCACAGTTCCCAATAAGACAAGCAAAAGTCGGTCCGGCCCTTTGCAGGACAAGCCAAAAAGCTGCTGGAACCTGTTAATAATAATAATAATAATAATAATAATAATAATAATAATAATAATAATAATAATAATAATAATAATAATAATAATAATAATAATAATAATAATAATAATAAAGTTGGAAGGGACCTTGGAGGTTATCTAGTCCAACCCCCTGCTCAGGCAGAAAACCCTACATCATTTCGGACAAATGGCTGTCCAGTCTCTTCTTAAAAACTTCCAGTGCTGGAGCATTCGCAGCTTCTGGAGGCAGGTAGTTCCACTGGTGAATTGTTCTAACTGTCAGGAAGTTTCTCCTTAGTTCTAGGTTGTTCTGTTTGCAAAGGTCTCAAGTATTTGACTGGGACAACGCAGAGCGAGTGTCTCCAAAAAGATGATGCATTTAGCATTAAAAAAAAAAAAAGGGTGGGGATGTTGGTTGATTTAAGGATGCAGGAATTCAAATCTGGAAGCCCTCTGGGTCACAGTAACCGAAGCAGCCCCCAAAGCTCACTAAGAATGGATCGGGATACAACCCGGATGGGAGACCACAAGGAAATACTAGGGGGGCTGTAGGCTAGCTCAAAGAGAGATACACTTGCATGACTTCATCCCTAAAGACATCCAGCCGTGGAGTTTGGGTCTCCTGCTTTGAGCCGGGAGGGCCGGGCTAGAAGACCACCCAAGATCCCTTCCAGCTCTGTTCTGATTGATTGATTGATTGATTGATTGATTGATTGGATTCTTTAGCATTGCATAAAGATGGTAGATTTCTGCCCTGGGGAGGGTTGGAATTGGGTTTTGAATGGCAGGCAAAAGGGAGAAAGAAAGAAAAAGGAAAGAATGCGATATTTCTTGCCGAGGGTCTGGGAACCGGTTCAGGGCCTGGGCGTGGGCGCTCTCCCTCTTCCCCCCCTCCCCAAATCTGGCTTGGGAAAGGAAGGAGAGGCCCCTGGGGTGAACTCTGGGCTCCTTCCCAGTATGGCATTTCGGTTCTCAGGCCCTGGAATTCGTCCCTCGTGCCTCAAGGGTTAACTCGGCTCCCGGGCCAGGAGATTCTTTTATTTATTCAAGGACCCCAGGCCTCTCCCGCCCGCCCTCGAAGCCCACTTTACGACCTGTGGGACTACAACTCCCAGAATCCCTGAGCCCCAACTTTGAGGACCATGGGACTACAACTCCCAGAATTCCTGAGCCCCAACTTTACGACCTGTGGGACTACAACTCCCAGAATTCCTGAGCCTTCTTCCTTCCCTTCTTCCTTTTTTCTTCCTTGTTCCTTCCTTCCTTCCTTCCTTCTTCCTTCCCTCCCTCCAGTCTTGTTCTTCCATCCATCCATCCATTGCTCCCTCCCGCCCTTCTTGTCCTTCCTTCCTTCCTTCCTTCCTTCCTTCCTTCCTTCCATCTCCCTCTCCCTTTTCTCTTTTCTCTTTCTTCTTTTCCTCCTTCATTCTTTCCTTCTTTCCTCCCTCCCTCCAGTCTTGTTCTCCTTCCATCCCTCCCTCCCTTCTTGTCCTTCCTTCCTTCCTTCCTCCCTCCCTCCCTCCCTCCCTCTCCCTTTTCTCTTTTCTCTTTCTTTTCCTCCTTCATTCTTTCCTCCCTCCCTCCAGTTTTGTTCTCCTTCCATCCCTCCCTCCCTTCTTGTCCTCCCTCCCTCCCNCCTCCCTCTCCCTTTTCTCTTTTCTCTTTCTTTTCCTCCTTCATTCTTTCCTCCCTTCCTCCCTCCCTTTCCCCCTCCCTCCCTCCCAATACTCTTGCCCCACTGGCAATAATAGCAGACGCTGACTTCTCATTGCTCCCACTGGACTCTGGCCCCGTCTCACCTCGCCCATTTAGTTGTTGATATCTCTGCAGTTGACGATGTTGACAAACTAGCTAATTACATTATACAAGTGGGGAGAATTTCTAAAAGAAGATTAATGGAGAGCAGGGAGCAGGGATGACCACAAGAGAGGTCAAGACATTAAGACGGCACTGTGACTGCAGAATTGGAACTCACCTGCTTATTTCTCCATTGTGTCGCATATAAAATGCACATTGACAAGGACTTCAGTCGCACGCCGAATGGGGAATTCTGGGAGTTGAAGTCCGCACCGCTTCAAGTTGCCACGGTTGAGAAACACTGACCTAGATAGACAGATTACACAGTAACCAAGAAACTTAACTCCATTTGCACCATGCTGCAAATATTCCAGATGACCTGTAGGTGGCAGCAAAGAGTCAGGGATTCTGCATCTCTACGCCGCCCTCTGATGGCCATCCAAAACTTTGCGGCCCCAATTTGGGATTTCTGCCAAGGCAAAGAGCACATCCAGAATCATACCTTTGCGTGTCTGACTATGTGTTCTGTCCAGGTCCATCCAGCATCTCTGTGGGGTGCCAGGCCACACCTGAGCCATCATTAGGTGGGCAGGGCTGGCATAATCCAGCTGAGGATCGAGAAGCATGTATAGTTGCAGCCAACCAGATCGGAATGCCACTCTTCCCGCCAGCTGCCTCAAATTGGTACATTCCAAAATAAGAACCAGTTTGGTGTAGTGGTGAAGGCGCCAATCTAAAAACCAGCGGACCGTATATTCTAGTCCCTGTTTAGGCACAAAGCCATCTAGGTGACTTTGGGCCAGTCACTCACTCTCAGCCCTAGAAAGGCGGCAATGGCAACCCACTTCCAAACAACCTTGCCAAAAAAACCTGCAAGACACTAGGTCTGACAACTGCCAGAAGATTATATGTAGCTGAAGGTTAAAATGTGGAAGCCTTAAGTGCTCTCTGAGCTTGGTTGTTTCTTTGCAGATGTTTCAATACACAACTAAATAACATCAGCGCTCCCTATTTATTTAGTAGCTTGTCCTGACAATGTGGGTGGGGTGTGTGGTTTTCTTCCTGGTAGTTCCTTGATTAAAGCATTGTTTTCTGCTAGATGGTTTGTCTGGTATTAATCCCCGTTTATCTGGGGGCTGATTGCTGAAAAGGATGCCTTGTTTCCTTCTTAGCTTTTTTATTGTCTCTTTTGAATGGTGTGCAAATATGGTTTATCTCTCTCGGTCCGTTGGTGGCTGATTAGTCTGAGCTTCCAGGAATTGCCTAGCATTTTTTTTGGGGGGGTGGTTAGCTTGTTTTAGGATGCTCACACTTTCCCAGTTGAAGCTACAGTTGAGTCTATCCATGTGTTGTGAGATTAAGAAGTTTTCATCCTGTCTTCTGACTGGTCGTTGGTGTTCATGGAGGCCCACTGCTAGTCTTCTGCCTTTCTGTCCTGTCGCCGTCCTTACACTGTATGTTGTAGTTCAGCGGTCCCCAGCTTGGCGGCCGGCTGGGGTGGGGGAGAGGGGAACTGGACGGTGCAAGCAACAGGCCAGCACTCGTGCACATGCAGCCCAACTCGCATGAGCAGCGGGCCAGCACGCATGCGCCTGCACACGCAGCTCGACTGCAAGTAGAGTTGCACGTGCATGCTCATGCGTGCCAGCCCACCACTCTTGTAAGTTGAGCTGCACGCATGCGAGTTGAGCTGCACGCATGCGAGTTGAGCTGCACACATGCGAGTTGAGCTGCACGGTGCCGAATAGGCCACGGCCCAGGGGGTTGTGGACCCTGTTGTAGATGACTCCTGTTTTTTCTTCTGGGGCTGCTGGCTCTTTTGGTTTACTTAAATTGTTTTGGAAGGGTTACGATGTGTGTTACGATGATATTGTATGGTTATAATGATCTGTTAGAAGTCTCTGAGGTGTTTTTGATATGTGTCTTGTGTTAGTTGTCCTGTATTGGGTTGAGTGGTTAAGCACTTTTCATTAAAGTCACGTGGCTTTCCGTTTTGTGGTGCAGGTGCTCCATTTCCTTTTTCTGGGTTTCCGCAGTGCGTTTGACCACAACTAGAACCAGCAACTCGGTCCCTAAGCAAAACCACTGCCGTGCTTACAGTCTTACTTCGGCTTTCCTTTTCTTTACACACCTGCAAAAGACATACATGCAAGGACTGGTTGCGAAGTTACTTCTTCATCGCCGTCATAACTGTGAACGGTCCCTAAACAAGACAGGCGCTAAATGAGGATGAGTTGTATAGGCAAATCCTCCGGATCCTGCAGATCTGAGAGCTAAATTCCTGGTTGCTGTTGCGATGTGGTGCTACCCTCTTCTCCTAATTTGAGGATTTCAACCTATTCTCTTTTTCCCTCCTAGCTGGATACTTCCAAGAAAGTCCTTCAAACTTGACCTCGTCTTTGGGGAAGGAGGTAAAACTCTCCTGCTCCATCCTGGCCCTGGGCGAGGCACCGGAGATCAGCTGGCTGAGGGATGGAGAGGCCTTCGAATTTGCTGATAGTAACCAGATGCAGGTGCCTTTGGAAGAGGGCGAATGGGAGACCACCAGCGAACTGAGGTGAGCCTCCGAGAGCTTGGCTGGCAGGGTTGATGGGCCAGACTGTCTGCTTGTTCCCCACATTTATTATTTTTACAAATAATTCAAGGTAGCAGACATAGCCCAAACATCTTCCTCCTCCTATTGTTCCCACAATGACAACTCTGTGAGGTGGGTTGGGGGGAGGAGAGAGAGAGAGAGAGAGAGACTATCCAAAGGGTTGATTGATGTTGTGGGGGGTCAAAAGGGGCTCAATAAATGATTGGGGATCAATAGGTGATTAATCAATGGGGGCTAGTGGAAGATCAGAAGATGTAAAGCAGGGGTAGGCAACCTTGGCTCTTTTATGACTCGTGGACTTCAACTCCCAGAATTCCTGAGCCAGCATGGCTCAGCTTGGAAACCTCTCCCTTTCCCCTCAGCGTGGCTGGCTCAGGAATTCTGGGAGTTGAAGTCCCCGAGTCATGAAGGGGCCATAGTTTCCCCATTCTGGCTCAGGAATTCTGGGATTTGAAGTCCACGAGTTATAAAAGAGCCAAGGTTGCCTACCCCTGAGTTAGACAGTCACTTGTCTGAAATGATATAGGTTCTCCTGCTTGAGCAGGGGGCTGGACTAGAAGACCTCCATGGTCCCTTCCAGCTATTCTAAATGGGCAGTGGCTGGGAGCGATGGGCTTTGAAGTCCAAGGGAACCAGGAGGCCAGACCAGACCAGAGATGGGCACTTTTGACCTGAAATGGAAGCGACAGCATCATCTTAGCATAGGCAAAGTTCAGATGAAGATCGGATGGTGGCCCTCCTCCACATGAACAAGTCCTTCTCTTCCTCATGGAAATTGGGGGGGGGGTCTGCCTGCCTGCCTGCCTGCCTGCTTGGGGAGGGGTGCCTTGAAGTCTGCTAGCTGGTTTAGTATGACTCATGGGAAATATTAATTCCAGTTGCTCAACGGCAGAGCCGGAGATCTGGGTGGAAGTCCAGCTGGCTGGTGCCTTCTGCCTCACGTGCCTTTCTCCGGCTTTCTGGACCCACGGGCCAAGTCACGTGGGGAGGGAACACTCACTAGGAGCCTGTAAGGGGTGTGCATTATGTGTGTGATGGTTCACTCTTGGCACCGTTTTCTCCTGCCTCTCTCCTTGCGGCATCCCTTTGGGCTGAGAGACAAGGATTGGGTTCCCTCAGCATCCTAAATTTTAATCTGGCTTGTTTGGTTTGCAAGGGTGCCTCATGGATGGTTTGCAAGGGTGCCTATTCTGGTTTGTTGAGAAGCCTCCGTTTCGGGCAGTGTGTGAGTTCCCCCCATCATAGTTTGTCTCACAACCAATGCTTCCCCAAACATCCCTTCATTACCCAAAACCAGGGGTAGGCAACCATGGCTCGTTTATGACTCGTGGACTTCAACTCCCAGAATTCCTGAGCCAGCATGAGGGAACTATGGCCCCCTCATGACTGGTGGACTTCAACTCCCAGAATTCCTGAGCCAGCCATGCTGAGGGGAAAGGGAGAGGTTTCCAGGCTGAGCCATGCTGGCTCAGGAATTCTGGGAGTTGAAGTCCACAAGTCATGAGGGGGTCAAGGTTTCCCTCATGCTGGCTCAGGAATTCTGGGAGTTGAAGTCCACGAATCATAAAGAGGCCAATATTTCTCCCATGCTGGCTCAGGAATTCTGGGAGTTGAAGTCCACAAGTCATAAAAGAGCCAAGGTTGCCTACCCCTGGCCTAGGCCTGTATTTCTCAACCTTGGCCACTCGGAGATGGGTGGACTTCAACTCCCAGAATTCCTGAGCCAGCATGGCTCAGCTTGGAAACCTCTCCCTTTCTCCTCAGCATGGCTGGCTCAGGAATTCTGGGAGTTGAAGTCCACAAGTCATAAAAGAGCCAAGGTTGCCTACCCCTGCCCAAAATCTTTTATCAAAAGGAACTTCAAGAATTGGTCTAAGTTCCTGTCCTTCAGTACGTTTAGGTTTTTTTTGCGCTGAATCTTCTTTCTGACCCCATGAGGGATAGAAACTTGATTTTTTAAAAATGAAAGCGAATACCTTTAGTACATGCTAGCTGGGGAATTCTGGGAGTTGAAGGCCACACATCTTCAACTTCAAAGTTGTCGAGGTTGGACACCTCTGCCTGTTAAATTTTTATCAAGGAGGTGGATGGCTTGCCTCCAAAAGTTGTAGGTGCTCCATCACTGGAAGTTTTCAAGAAGAGATTAGATGGCCATTTGTCCAACCTGCTTGAGCCCCCGGGGGTTGGACTAGAAGACCTCCAAGGTCCCTTCCAACTTTGTTATTCTGTGAAAAGAAATGCCTTCTGTTTAGATTCGATGTGGCTTTCTTAAACTGACTTTGCCTGTTGGTTATGTGGGATCAGCGAATCTGTGTTGTTGTTTTTTGTTTTTAAAACTTAACTTTCTTTTTCACGATTTTCTTGCTCTTGGGGGTGTTGGCAGCCTTGGGCTCCGTTGTGATAAACAGCCTGGGGGGGGGGAGGTGGGAAACAGCTTTTGCTGAAGGAAACAAAAATGGTTTTAAGGAACTGCCTGTGAGGCGAACCTTCCAAGCAAGCAGAATCAATTCTGCGTTTTTTCTGTGCTGACCTTGCAAGATGGGAAATAGAGGCAGGGAGTCATCCTGAGGAAGGAAACAAAAGAGGAAAGAATCCTGATTTTAAATGAGTAAAAGTTCCTGACCTTTTCTTGATGATAAAGGCTTAACCCCCCCCCCCAAAAAAAACCCTTGAAAACTTTCCCTAAGTAGCTGTAAATGGTTTCCGGTTGCATCAGACTGCGATTCCCTTGTCTTTCACCAGCTTTGTCCAAGCCCTTGCGTTGGCTGCAGCTGTGCCGAGGGGCAAGGGAGGTCAAAAAAGTCAAGATGGCACCCCAATCAGGGCAATCAAAAGGCGTCCCGTTGTTTTTTTTTCAAATGCACCACAGCTGCTTTGTTTAAAGAGCGGCTTGGTCTCTGGGGATGTTAAACCTTGGAATTATTTTTTCCTCCTTTCAGCTAACATTATTTTTGACCCTCCGGATCCGGCCCCCGGGGGGTCTTGGGGACCACTGGTCAGAAAAAGACCGTGGCAGATCTCATTCCCTCGAAGCCGTGGGATGGAGACCCTTCGTGCTGAGGCTTTGCCAATGCCAGGAGGATCCTTAATCAGCGCACAGACCTTGACCTACGACCGTTCGTTTAGTGACTGGAGTTCAAAGTTACAACGGCGCTGAAAAAAAATGACTTATGACCCTTTTTTCACACTTAACGACCGTCGCAGCATCCCTGTGGTCACGCGATCCAAATTTGGATGCTTGGAAACTGGCTCATATTTATGACGGTCGCATTGTCCTGGAGTCACGTGATCCCCTTTTGCAACTGTCTGACGAGCAAGGGAATTCTGGGAGTTGTAGTTCACATAGGCTGGCTGGGTGAATTCTGGGAGTTGAAGTCCACATACGCTGTCCAGGGAATTTTGGGAGTTGTAGTTCACATAGGCTGGCTGGGTGAATTCTGGGAGTTGTAGTTCACATACGCTGTCCAGGGTATTCTGGGAGTTGAAGTTCACATATGCTGTCCAGGGTATTCTGGGAATTGCAGTCCACATACGCTGTCCAGGGAATTCTGGGAGTTGTAGTTCACATACGCTATCCAGGGAATTCTGGGAGTTGCAGTCCATATACACTGTCCAGGGTATTCTGGGAGTTGAAGTCCACATATACTGGCTGGGTGAATTCTGGGAGCTGAAGTCCACATACACTGTCCAGGGAATTCTGGGAGTTGCAGTCCACATATGCTGTCTAGGGAATTCTGGGAGCTGAAGTCCACCCATCTTAAAGTTGCTGAGGTTGAGAAACACTGGTTTAAGTTTGATAAACCGGCTCAGGCCTGGATTTCGCACGCATCAAGCCTCGTGGACAACGCAACCTACGCTCAAATCCGCTTTGCTGACCAGTCTCCTCGTCTCTTCCACCCTCCCATCTTCCCCTCCCTCCAGCATCTCTTCCCTCCAGCTTTCTGACATGGGAAATTACCAGTGTGTGGCCTGGGTGAACGGATCTGAAATTGTTTCCGAAGGAGCTTATCTGAAGTTAGAAGGTAAATGTAATATTTGAGGGGGGGGGAGTCACCTGCAGAGACCTGGGGGAGGCACAGCCATGCTGCAGAAATTGGGAATTATCTAGCTGCTGGCCTTGAGCAGCCAGAATAAATACTCAGAGGTTTAATTCCCTTTAAATGATTGGTTTTTTTTACAAATATCATCCATTACTCTGGGATTTTGTTGTCTAACAGGGCTCCCAGGTTGAGAGAAATTATCTCAGCAGTGATTGTCAAGCCTGGGGACTTGAAGAGGGGTGGACTTCAACTCCCAGAATTCCCCAGCCAGCTTTGCTGGCTGGGGAATTCTGGGAGTTGAAGTCCACCCCTCTTCAAGTCCCCAGGCTTGACAATCACTGGCTTCATTCCTTCATAGGACTAAGCCAAGATCTGCTTGTTTTGGATATTGTTGACCACGCCATTCTGGTTTGGCTCACCCCTCCACACACACAAGCTAAGCCATAGTGTTCTTTATCTTTGTCTCGTGTGAACCATCCCATCCTGGCTTACCGTTGCCATCAGGGCTTATTCAACTAAGAGTGGTTTAGCATTGCTTGTGAACCCAGCCGATGCTGGGCTCGTTTGCTCAAGCTGTTTCCTTCTCTCTTGTGGCCAGGTCTCCCCTTTTTCTCCGAGGAGCCCCAAGACCTGGAGATCACGGCCGATACCCCGTTCAACCTCAGCTGTGGGGCGCAGGGACCCCCAGAGCCTGTCTTGGTGATCTGGTTGCAGGACAGCGTTCCCCTTAACTCGCTGGCGGATCCCCTGGCCCAGACCCCGTCCGTCTTGGGGGTGAGAGGTGAGTCAGCTCAGGCCATGCCCGCTTCTTCTTCTTCTGCTCGCAAACTGACACCTTTCAAAAGGCAGCAGCTGCCAGGGTGGGGTTAAGATTTCACCCAGGACAGCTGAGACGACATCCATGCTCAACCACAGCTAGGCCTCCACTTACAACAAGCAGCGTGTGTGGCAAATTACAACCGTAGCTTAAAGGTTGGTATTTGATTAGAGACAAATGGCTTGTTAACAATTCCTCTGAATTCCCTTCCCCTTCCTTCCTTCTTCCTCTCCTCCCTTCCTCTCTTCCCCTTCCCTTCTTCCTTCCTTCCTCCTTCCTTTCTCCCTCCCTCCCCTTCTCTTCTTCCTTCCTTCCTTCCTTCCTTCCTTCCTACCTTCCTTCCTCTCTCCCCCTTCCCGTTCCCTTCTCCTTCCTTCCTTCCTTCCTTCCTTCCTTCCTTCCTTCCTTCCTTC